CCTTCCTTCCTTCCTTCCTTCCTTTTCTCTGTGCTGTGACAAAAAAAAGTTTTGCTTATCCAGAATACTGTGGCTATCAAATTTAAAGCAAGCTAGGATTTTAACTGGCATCTGACTGGATTTGAACATGGTAATGACCCAAACACAAAAGGATAATGAATGGATAATGAATGGGAAGCTGTTTGGCATGGTTGTAGTGAGCTGAAGTGTGAGGAAGGAAGAGGCTGTTGATATACTGATCAAGTTAACTTAAATAGAGTTATCTGAACTGGTCCACTGTGTTTAGAATGAATGGCGCGTGTTTTGGAAATCTTGATTGTGTGGGAATATAATAAACCATTATACAAAGGAGAAATGATTTACTGCTCAGCAAATATTGCTCATTGTGAAGTTTGTCTTAGCGGTCATCTCCACCTGCTGGGCCTTGGCGGAGGTGACCCAGAGTATTTCTTTTTGTTTTTCTTGCAAAATTATCCAGTGATCAGTGTCGGATTCAGATTGTAGCTGACCCAAGAGCTTCACTGTAGGAGACACTGAGCTACGTCAGACATGTAAATAAGAACTATTCCTTGTCATTTAAAAGAAAAACGCTTTGGGTTTTAATTGTGTATGCCACCCAGAGTGGCATGTGTGAGATGGCGGCTATATAAATTTGATAAATAAATGAATAATGGTTAAAAAAAAAATCTAACCCACATCTACAGTAGTTATTTCCTTTCTCCAAGACTGGCATAGAAAGATTCCCACAACCCAGTCCTTCTGGGATACAAGGTGATAGAGCAAGGGCAGACCCCTCCTTCCATCCATCACTCCCCCTCTGGCTGAGGAGCTTAGGGGTGGAGGAATCAATATGTCTTTTTAACCCACTGATTCATCTACAGAGAAGGATTTGGATCCATTGCATTTCCTTTTTTGAAAAAAAAAATCTGAATTCTAAAATAATAATTTGGTTAAGTATTATGCATGGAAACATGTGAGGCCTGTAATTTATACCTATTGCCAGATTGAACTGCCACTTACTTTACCGAATCCGAGAGTGAGGCCCTCTGGTCTAAGCAATAGATCGTGATCTCAATAAACCTGACCTTCCATTAAGTTTCCTGCCCAGGCAAATGACATTCTCCCTCTCTCCTACTTTACTGCAGGGGATGTACAAATACCTCGAGCAACGTTTTTCCGACTTCAAGCAACGTGGTTTTGTGGTAGGGTATGACACGCGAGGGCAGGTGACCAGCATGTGCAGCAGCTTCAGGTATGGGCTTGGTCCAGATTTAAAAGTCTGGAAGTAAAGGATGCCTCAGTTTCTCTTGTGGAGGCCAGCATTAATAGTTTGAAGAGGAGAGCGAATCTGGAAAAAGAAACTACTTTATCTGCAAATAAGCAGCTGTAATAACAGTTTGCCTAATGCTTTGCTATAGGCCTGACTGGATGCAGATCTCCCTTCTCTCTCAAGGGGCCAGAGAAATTTGGATAGTTTCAGGTGCAGTGGAATAGAAGCTCTAGATCTGATTGCCTAGTTCTTTTTGCAAACATTTAAGCAGAATTTAATAATAAATATTAGCCTTTCACCATGTGGCACAGGTATCCTACATTTTCATGCATAATTTGCTCTCGATCCTATTGAATTCGTCTGGAATCCAACAGATGTATGGTACAGAGGTCCTCCTCAAGTCTCAAGGGTGCTTTTTATAAATCACTTTGTAATAGAGAAAAGCATTTTAGTTCTGGCATGAAGCTGATTCCAAATAGAAGTTTTGACAACATGCACGTGTTTCTGTGGTTTCTATATGCATCAGCACTTTAGGATTCCAGGAACAAACATGCTCCTTGGTCAACACTCTGTAGTAATTTGTACTGCTGAGAAAGATGTTTGTTTGGTTTTTTTTGTGCCCTCAAGTCAGTTTTTAACTCCTGGCAAGTGCCTGGACTAGTCCCTGCAGTTTCCTTGACAAGATTTCAGAAGTGGCTTGCCCTTGCCTCCTTCCTAGGGCCGAGAGAGATGGACTGGCCCAAGGCCGTCCAGCTGGCTTCGTGCCTAAGGTGGGCCTAGAACTTATCGTCTCCCAGTTTCTAGCCTGATGCCTTAACCACTACACCAAACTGGCTCTGGTGGCAAAATTAGAGTGCAGAAAAACACAGTGCAGTATAAAACAAATCTCTGAGCTGCTTTGCATCTCATACGATAGCATGTTCTCAATCTTGCCTGTGGCTGAATTTTTTAAAACTGTTTATGAGAAGTTATTTATTTCCAGTATTTTAATTTTTTGAAATTCTTGTTTTCCACAGACTTGCCAGACTCACAGCAGCAGTCCTGCTTGCAAAGGGTGTTCCTGTTTACTTGTTCTCAAGATATGTCCCCACGCCTTTTGTGGTAAGTGGCTATTTTTTTCATTATGACTTTGCTTAAGGGAGTGTGTTCTCAACTGGATTTGTACTTCCACTGTGAAATACTCTTGAATTTGATGGCACTCTGGTTTGAGTCAAGCCGGCCATCTCAACCACTATACCTTGAAATGAGACAGGGTTAGCGCTGGGGGCTTGGTGCTTTCTGTGTCAACTGAATACTTCCTTTATTCTAGGAGCATAAGATCTGTTCATCAATCCTTGAAATTGCAATAATAACGGTGGAAGAAATCCCCAGGTTTAGAATGTCCAGTTTAAGTAAGACCCATAGTTAAGAATGGAGTCTATTGCAGCAAAACTCGAGTTAAATACACAATGGTTCAAGTTCATTATGCAATACTACTTATACAGTATTATATAATAATACTGTTCCGGCTTACATACAAGTTCAACTTAAGAACAGATCTTGGGAACGGAACTCGTTCTTAAACTGGGGACTACCTGTATATCTGGTCATTTCCACTTTCTTCTCCATCCTGTGTTTCACGGTTAAGTACTGTTTTTTGAAGCAAACAAATTCCAAAGTTGTGAAAATTCAAATGCTAAACTGTAATTCCAAGAGTCATCTACCAGCTCAGTGTGCAGTTGCTGTTGCCTGACTTGACTGTAATCTGTAGGTATGATGAAGCGAAGGCCGCACACATATTTGAGACGATTTGAAATTATTGGGAACATATTATGGGTATCTTTCTCCTGGATTATACCTATGAGCTGTCCCTTCTCAGATCCAGTTCTGTGTGTTGAAAATCCTGCCCAATTTAAGCCTTGACTGCCTCAAGGCCATACAATTAGGAGAGTGGCGTGCTTTCCAAATCCGAACAGCTGTTAGACATCTGTGTAACGTTTTTGTCACTTGTTTAGGCAGTGTGCATTTTTGTATCCATCTGGACATGCTGTTTTAATGATAATTGCACCTTTAAAAGGTCGTATTTTATTTTTCTTATTTCAAATAAAATGATTTTTTAAACAGCTTGCATCCAAGGCTCCAAATGTTTTCCTTGTAGCAGCTGTACAGGTGCGTGGAGTAGTTGGTGTTCCTTCTGGGGCTCTGCCAGAAATCCTGGGTGCTGGAACACACGTGATTTTGTCTTGCAGCCGTACGCTGTCCAGCAGCTCAGAGCTGTCGCTGGGGTGATGATTACAGCTTCCCACAACCGTAAAGAAGACAACGGCTACAAGGTATGTCAGCCAACTTTCTAGGCGCCTAATTTGACTAAGTTGTTTGCAGATCTTTTTCCCTTTCTCTCTATCAGTGTTTCTCAACCTTGGGAACTTTAAGATGTGTGGACTTCAATTCCCAGAATTCCCC